TTGAGGCTCAGAGAGGTAAGAGCTTTTGTGCAAAAGCACACAGCTGAAAAGGGCAATTGCTTCCATCTGGAGTCAGGTCCAACCCCAAGAGGCCATGCTTTGAGCCACCACTGAAGCTTAGGGCCCCATACCCTGGAGTCGCTGGTCACGGGGTTCTTTCCTGGCAGGTCTGAGTCCTGGACACGGTTTCTGTGAGGGTGGCCCTGACTCTTGGGGCACATCCGGGCACTCGAGACCCCAGCTCCATTCCCGCCTTAGCTAAGACTAGCCTACCAGCTAGCCCACAGAGCTCCCTGGCTCTTCTCTGTCTTGCTTCACAACACTGCCCACCACTCCCAACATAAAGGCCACCTTGGGCCTTGCTGCCCTTCCCTGGTCCTTCCTCTTCTGTGGAAAGGAATTAAGGTCCCTTGCAGGGTGTATCGTAGCTCACAGGGTAAGGGGAGGTCGGTACCCCTAGCATTTGGGGTACAAAGAAAAAAACACAAAGCTCCTATCAGAGAGCCTCCTGTCTTAGGCAAGAAAACATAACTCCTTATCACCCACCAAAACAAGACAGGGCAAAGACACAACACTGCTTCTGAATCCTGCTGGTATGCCTTCTTCTCCCCACTTCACAGATGAAGAAGCTGAGGCTCCAGGAATGGGAGTGCATTGCCCAAGGTCATACAGCTAGAAAGTGACAGAGCCTATTCCCCAACCTAAACCTTACTTTCTACGGCACATCACATCACTGGTCCCCAACCAGCTCCTCCCCTGACCTCTAGCAGGGAGATGAGCCTCTCCAAGGGGGGAACTGGCAGGGAGATGTGGGGGTGGGGGAGGAGGGGGGAGGAGAGTGGAGAACCAAGCAAGAGCTGTGCAGGAGGTCATCTGTGGGCCTCAGGTCCAGGGAAGTAGTCTGGGGGCCGGGCCAGACCTTCCTCCCTTTGGAGGCCAGGTCGTCTGCGGAGGGGGGGGTGGAATGTGTGCCAGTGCATGCAGGTAATGATCTAGGGAAGCTGTACTCAGAAGTCAGCTGCAGACCCTGAGAGAGCCAGACCACCCCCCTGCAAGCCCAGGGCTGGGGCCTGCCCGAACCCCAGAGTTGTGAGCCTTCATGAGCCTGTAGAGGGCCCAGCACATACAAAGCTCTCAACTAGTTGGGAAAACACAGCTGGGGCACTTCATGGAGCCAGGTGACCCCTGGCACATGGGTCCGCTGGCCCTGGGAGCTTCAGAGAGACCAGGAGTGGTGTCCTTTCTGGGTGGTGTCTGCTCCGACCGCCCCCAGCAGCAGGAGGTGGGGGAGCAAGGTTGAGGGGAGCCGAGGGTGGGGGGCAGCCCTTTCTGGCAGCCGCTGATAAGGAAGGCCCATCCTACCGGCTGGCTGCCCTCTGTGGGGGGGGGTGCAAGCCTTCAGTCACGGGGAGCAAAGCTCTGCTGGCTGCAGGGGGTGGGGACGGTATGGAGTGAGGAGTGATCTCCTGTGTCCTTCCTCCTTCCACTAAACAAATTAAAGCCGAGCTGTCGCAGCCCCGCAGGCAGCCACTGGGGGCCCCAGCCCCGTTTGGGGAGGGCAGCGCTGCCGCTCTGGGACCCACGGCTGCCGGCTATCAGACTTCTCATCGCCTCTCCCAGCTGGAAGGGAATTTAATCCACCGGCCTCCTCTCCACACGCACTGGGACTCCTTTTGATGTTCCTCTTTATCTCCCTTCCCAACAAAATTGCCCCTCAACAGCTCCAAGAGGGCCTCCTGCCTCTGCCCGCCCCGCTCCCTCCCTCCCAGCCCCTGCGAGCAGCCCTCCCGTTGGGCCTGGCAGTGAGGGAGGGGCAGGCTCACGCCCTCCGCCTGCCTGGTCCCTGACCTTGGCAGAGGAACCTTCCCCTGGGCCTCGCTCCTGCCCTGGGAGAATGGGGGAGGAGACCACCCGTGCCCTCCCCGGCCAGTTCTTTGCTTGCATTGGGAGCAACGTTGTGCAGTGGGAGGGGGCTGGAGAGCTGGGCCTTTGAGAGCTCACACTGTGATGGAGACAGAACAGAGCCAACCTCAGATCCTTCGCTGGCAGCTGTGAGGCCTGAATGAGTTGCCCGCCCAGGCCTCCCTTTCCTTCTCCAAGAAGGGGTGCACTGACGCCGATGTCAGTAAAGATTCTGGTTGAGTCACGTGCAGCACACAGTTGGGGCTTGATAAACGGAAGCTGTCTGGCAGAGGACTGCAGTTAATCGGGGTTTTGCACCGCTCTAGTGAACTGGGTGAATATCACATACATATCCCATCCCAAGACGCTCACAGTCACAAGCCAAGTCCCAGCAGGACTTGGCCCTCTGGGCACGTTCTGAAGGGGGCAGGCTGAGCACTTAATGGGACTTAGCCGGAAGGTTGCCCTGGGGTCTCAGGGCCACCGCAGGGCTGAGTGAACGTCCAGCCAAATCTAGAAGGGCAGGGACCTCATTCCTTGAGAGGCAGAAACCTGGCCTGAGGGGCCAGTGCTCCTGCCTGTCCAGGTACACGGACTGAGTCCACACTGAGCTCAGCCCCACCTTCCGCTCTGGTCTTCTGTCCGCCCCCACCCCCGCACCCCTACATCCCCATGGGTGTTTACTCTGCTTTCTCTCTCCAGCTGCTCAGCCACCACACCTCCACGGTCAGTCTTCTTCCCTGTTCTCAGACTCACTCCCTGCCTTGCCTTGCTCTGTCCTGGCAGTTCTCAAACTTCAGCGAGTATCAAGACACCTGGAGGGCTGGCTCCACAGTGCTGGGCCCTGCCCCTGGTGTTTCTGAAAGGTAGATCTGGGCGTGGCCCAAAATATGCATTTCTGATGAGGTTTTTGGTAAAGCTGAGCTACTGGTCCCTATACCCCACTCGGAGAACCACCACTCTGCCCTAGTGGTTCTCACCCTTGGATGCACATTAGAATGAATAACATGGAGAGTGTTATGAGGTCCTGAGGTCTGGCCTCACCCATGTCTGATTTGCTTGGTCTGGGGTGCGACCTAGGCATGAGGATATTTTAAAGACCCCCCAGGAGATTTTGTTGGGTGGCCCAATGGCTCTGCCTCTCCCCTGCTCGCCCCTCTGGATTCCTGTGGGTGCCGCCAAGCCCCTGCCTGCCCCTACTGATGTCTCCACAAGCCTGGCTGCACAATGTGGTTCCCTAGGGAGCATCACAAAACTGCAGCTGCCTGGGCCCCACCCCAGCAGGTTCTGACCCAGTGGCCGTGGGCACCTGCGTGTCTGAGTTTAGAGCCATGCTGGTGGTTCAGACGTGCAGCCTCGTGAGGAGGGGGGGCTGCCTCAGTGTGACTCACACTCACTGCCAAGTTCACCTTCCTCATTTCCACCAGTATTCATGTGCTTCAGAGCTTAGAGTGCCTCCCCGTTGCTCACGAGGGCAGTGCCAGAGCCCTCCAGACAGTGCCTGCAGTGGGACCCCCGCCCCCCAGCCTCCTGCTCTCCCAACGATCTCACCAGCTCTAACCCACATGCACCCCTTGCAAATCAGCTCACCGTCTGCCTCCTCACTAATTCCTCATTCCAGCTCCATGCCTTTGCCGAGGCCAGCGGGGGTCCCAGACCAGCAGTGGCAGGGCAAGCGGCACCTGAAACTTGTTAGAAGTGGAAATTCTCAGGCCCCAACCTACCAAATGAGGGAGTCCTGGTGGTGGGCAGCAGTCTGTAGCTTAACACAGCTTCCAGGTGCTTCTGATACACGCTAAGGACAGAGCTCCGTGTGGAGAGCCACTTCCTCCACATGGAATCCCTCCTCTTCTAGCTCATTTTCCCTTCGTTCCTAAAGCCAGTTCAAAGCCCCCCTTGGGGCAGCCTTCCTGGCGTGGCCTCATCTGCTGGCGCTTGCTCAGATTCCCGCCCTGGGGCGCTCAGCATTACCGCCTCCCTTTGCTCTGGAGCCGCTAGTGGGGGACACCCTGACCCCACTTCCGTCGACCTAGACAGCACCCCGGCCTGGGCTTTTACGCTCACCGTGCTCCCAACAAGCTGTGCAACTTTGGGTGACTCACTCAACCTCTCTGAAGTCCATTTCCTCTGGAGGGGTTTCCAAGATCCGGTGTTTCTTCTTCTCCACCCCATGGCCCGTGGGAAGAGGATCGCACAGAGGAGTGGGTGAGAAAAAGCTGCCTAAACCCAGGGGCTTCTTGAGCTCCCACTGTGTCCCTGCTCTGCTGTGGGTTTACCCTGCCTGAGGCCTGCTCTGCGGGCTTGAGGACTCCCAGCGTTCCACAGGAACCGCAGAGGATGATTCTGCGGTTATTCTGAACGGCGTCTGGCCAAGAGTAGGCGTCCGGTGTGCTGTGCTGTCATCGTTACTGTTGGCCCCTATTTGTACACTTACGGAACAGTCTCCGAGACCTGGCTCCAAGTGACAAAACCCCACCCAGAGCGATGCGTGTAGCGTGCTGCCGCTGGCGTCAGGGAGGGGAGGCCCAGAAACCTAGAGCTCGTCGTATTTGTGTGGATTTGCTGGGGAAGAGACCCCTGGATGGGGTGTGGTGGTGGCCTCTAGAGAAGGCTCTCCAGCGGCTGGGCCAGTGCGGACGGGGAGACAGCAGCGTGCCCTTGACACTTTTGAACTATGTGAAAAATTTTCCATGTCTGTATTCATCATGTCTTAATGTTTTCTGTGTTAGGAAGATTAAAATGCGACAGTGCTTGGGGTCGTTTTTCCGCAGGGGTTTGGTCCAGGCTCCTGGGAGGAGGACATAGGGATGTGGCCCACCCCCCACCCCACCTCCCTCTGGGTGAGGACCGAGTGTGCTCAGGAGCCCGGGTACCTCTTCCTCTGCTTCCCTCTCCTTCCTCCGGGTGTGGGGCCCATCAGATACGAAGGGGGCTGTTCCTCTGGAGGAGGGTGTGCTCCTAGGGTCCACTCGGCCCCTCTCCCTTACCCTGACCTCGGATCTCACCATCTTTTTCTCTCCGGTTCCTTCCTCCTCTCCGTACCTTTCCGGCTCCTTCTCTGTCTCCATACCCTTTGACTGACCGACTCCCACTGACAGAACTTGGTAAGTGAGCCTGGGAAGGGCAGGGGCTGGGGAGGCCGGTGGGCATCGTGGGGAAGGGGCTTCGGGGGGGTGCTCCTCCACGTGCCCTGGCGTAGCTCAGCCGGCCCCCACCTTCTCGGGCCTCCAGGTCCCGTGGTGGAGGGGGAGGTGTTGGTGTCACCTGCTCAGACCTGTCACACTCTGCCGGTCTTGGCTATTAGTGCCCCTTCAGGCATTTAATTGGGCCTCCATCTGACGGATGGATTCCATGCCAGGGAGAACTGAGGACTCCACACGCTGACGGGGCCGAGGGAGCATTGCCTGCACCGTCTGCAGGAGCCACTCTGGTGGAGGGCTCTGGAGGCCCTGCTGCTTGTCTGGACCCCAAGATTGGCAACACTCCTGTTTTGCCAATTTGTAATTGCAAATAAAAAAAAAAAACTCAAGAGACTGATGGGTAAATATTAATATGCATTCATTCCATAAATGTTTTCGACCACCTGTGGGACAGGTCCAGGGCTGGAAGAATCTCATGAACTCTCAGGCGTCCGTGGGGATGCCCTTTCCAGCCTTGCCAGGATCATCCCCTTCTGACCATGGAAAGGCTTCCAGCTGGCCTGGCTGCCCCCCTCACAGCAGGAACGGGTTCTGGAAGGGATCCCTGGGCAACCAAGAGGCATGCTTCCTTTGCCAGCCCTCAGTTCCAAAGAAACACGTACACAGAGCGGCTGTGCTGGGCACTGGGCCAAGGGTGAGCAGCATGGGCAGGAGGACATTCCCTCCTGGTGCTCACAGCCCAGGTCTGTAACCCAGTGAGCATCTGCAGTAAGGGTCAGGAGAGGCTCTCCACGGGTTGGTTACAAACCACAGGCCATCTGCCTAGGTTGAAGGAGGTTTATTTGGGGGTAATTTCCCCCCATGGGGGGTTGAACCCATCGCCGAGCAGGCCAGACTCTGGGGAGTCAGGAAGCCGTGTCTCCCACTTTCATCAGTGGCTCTTCAGACTTGGGGGCTCGGGTAGCATGGAGACCTCACACCCTTTGGGTCAGAAGGAGCCAAGCCGTATCTGAGGGCTCTGTGAGCTCGGGCCCTGTTAGAAGGATCAGAAACACCTGACTTGGAGTGAGGCACACCCCCGCCATCTGAAATTATGGGCTTCAGCTGCTGGGCTGCGGCAGAGCCCATGGAGGACCCGGCCGCTCCGAGCTACCTGGGATCCAGTGTCCTCTGGGCCACCGCTAGCTGGCTACAGGGTGGGGTCCGCGGGGGTCCACTTTGCCATTCAGCTGGGTTATTCCCTTTCCATGTGTAAGGAAGCCAGGGTTCTCCCTGACTGACCCGTTCCGGAGGGAGGGAGGGGAAGAAGCCGGGTTCTGCTCTGTCCCTCATGCCCTCTCCCGCCCATGCCTGCCGGGGACACACGCTCGCTTCTCTCTCCTCCTTTCCCATCCTGTCTTCTTTCCGGTCTGCCTGCTGGGTGTCCCAGCTACAGATCCTCCCCAGCTGGGGTCACTGGGACTGAGGAAGGGAGCAGGAGGTGGGAAATGAACCGAGCCATCTGGAAGGGCGATTTGAGGGCATCTGAAGGGAAAACAGAGGCAAAAAGAACTGGCAGAGACTTCCAGCGGGCCCGGATGTGGACAGGAGGCAGGGTCTGAGAGCCAGGCCAGGGTCACCCAGAGGAGGCCAGACCACTCTGGTGTGGGGTGCAGGCAAGCCCCACTATGGAGCCTGCCCCTCCTCTACCTCCACCAAGCCCCTCTGCTCTGGACCCTCGGCCCCCTGAGCCCTTTCTGACTGGTTTCTTCTCCATTCTGCCCCAGGGCCTAAACAGCATGTTCGAGGTGTACCTGGTGGGGAACAATTCCCAGCACTTCATCATCTCCCCCACCTCTGTCCAAGGGAAGGCAGACATTCGCATCCGGGTGGCCGTCCCCCTGGACTATGAGACTGTGGACCGCTACGACTTTGACGTAAGGCCCCCTCCCTTTTTCTTTGTCCGGCGGGAGGCTTTCAGGGGAGGCCGAGGGTGACACTATCTCCTTAAACTCCTCCTTCCACCTCTCCTCATTCTTCCCCTGTGTGGATCCGACCCCAGGAAGCCCACTGAGCCCATGGCAGGGGCTGGGCTGAGCCTCCCCTTTTCAAGGAGGACAAGGAAGTGTCTGGGAATTGAGCAGCCTTTTCCCAGGCACGGGCATAGCCCCCGAAGCCCATAAGGAGCCTCACGGCCCAGCCCCCACCAGCCCAGCCCCCAGCAGAATCCATGGCCCCCCTGGCTTCGGAGCCCTGCTGGAGAGACTCCCATCACACACACCTGGGATGGGCAGTGACTCAGACAAGAACTCTGGGTTAGGATCTGCAAAGACCCCAGGGGGGGGACTTACGGGGACAAGGCTCCGGGAGCATGTGAGAGCTCACCCGGGGCCCCCGCTCTGCACACCCAGCTCTTTGCCAACGAGAGTGTGCCCGACCACGTGGGCTATGCCAAGGTGAAGATCACCCTCATCAACGAGAATGACAACCGGCCCATCTTCAGCCAGCCACTGTACAACGTCAGCTTGTACGAGAACGTCACCGTGGGGACGTCTGTGCTGACAGTCCTGGTGAGTCCTGCTCTTCCACAGGGCCACTGAGCTCCAGGGAAGACCACGGGGAGGCAGCCAGAGGGCTTGGCCCAAGAAACGTGGGCGGTCAGGGAAGGGGGTGTCCCTGAGCCCCCAGAAGTTGCGGTGTTTGTGCATTAAAGCATCTGGACTCTTCATGATGGGGCTGCCACGGTTGGGGCAGCAATGTGGAAAGAGGACCAGCCCGGAGGAGGATGGAATTGGGGCAAGGACTCTGGTTTTCGGCCTTGTCACTGAGAGGAACCGAGCCTAGTTGGGCCAGGAGGCCCGGAAGTGCCCTCTAATGGGGCTAGGGACCAGCCAACTCTGAGGAGGGCCATCCTCCCTCTAGGCACCAGGGAAGAATGGGCTCCTTGAGGGTGCCTGGTCACCCCCAGCTGCCCTTGGCTGGGACTTTGACAAAGCGCCCCTTCCAGTGTCCATTTGTATCAGTCGGCACTCTTGATGCCAAGGGACACAAACCCTTAAGTGGTTCAAGCCAAAAAAGGATCAGCTCATGTAATTCAAAGTGTAGATGATTTCAGGCATGGCTGTACCCAGGCACTCAGTTAGCAGGAATCTGACTTTAGCACCAAGCACCTTTTTTTTTTTTTTTTAATTGACCGAGAGGAATACCAGCACCCCCAGGATTACTTCTTACCGATTTATCAACCCGAGTGGGAAAACCATATCCTTTTTCAGTAGCTCCAGCAGAAGTCCCAGAGCTGATTCTCCTTGCTGGGCCATCCTGGAACCAATCATCGTGATCCTGATCTAACAGAGATGGGTCACAGTCTTCCTAGCGGAGCCAGGGCTTGGGTCCGCTCCATCCAAACTCTATGGGCTGAAAATGGAAAAGGGGCTATGCCAAAGGGGCTTCTGTTAGCAGAACAAAGGGGATTGGTTGCCGAGCAGATCAGAGTGGCAGACGTGTGTGATGTAAGCTCAGCTCTTAACGCATAGTAGGTGCTCAGTAAATGTGATGGAGTTGAGCTCACCGCTGCCATTCTCTGCCCATTCTGAGGACCTTGGGGTCCTCACTTCCATTTCTTGCTCCATCCTTACTCCAAGCTGAGACATTGCCTGCTGATCCCAGGCCCCCTACTCCAAAATGTGTTTACTCTTCTGACAGATGGTGTGAAACTATACTGAGCCCCAGGCCCTTCCCATCTGACAGTTATTAATATTTCAAACAGATGTTTAGCTAGGCGGGCCATCAGACATAAACACTAAGTCAGCTGTGGCTGTTTCCCTCCCCGCCGCCTCCCCGGGCTGTGGGAGCACCAAGGTGCTCCTTGTGATCAGTCACCTGGTGCTCGGGGCCCCCCCCCCATGGATCCTCTTGCGGCCTCTGGGGGCCCAGCCAGAGAGCAAGATCCAAAGAGAGACTACAGCCCCCTCTCCCCCCACCCATTTTCAACTATCAGGGTGAAGGACACCCAAACGGCCTGTGTTTGGGGCCCCAGCCGGCCTGGGACCACATGGCAAAGCGTTCAGGTGTCAGGCTTGTGGGTGTCCAAGGGGCTCCCCCCTGGTATTCTTGCTGGGGACGGAGGTCTCACTTTGCGGTTGCAAGTTCCCAGGGCCCTGGGGAAGGGTTGCGGAACCTAGGGAACAGGGGTGGGGTGTGAAGGGTCAGAAGGTACACCTCTTGGCTGGGGGCCAGTTGCTGGTGCCAAGGACAATGTGTTAGGTCCAGTCTCCTCTGGGGCTGCCACTGGAGAGTACGCGCTCAAACTGGGTGTTCTCAAACACTGGAGCAGTTCCTGGGCCTGCGTGGACCCCTGCCTGCCCCCTACAGCCCCTTCTCCAGCTCCTCTCTGGACGTTTAACAGATGCATTTAGCCTCCTCTGAGTGTCTCTCACCTGGTCAGCCTCCAGTTCCTGAGTCTAAGCCTTGCCCACCTCCTTCTCAACCCCCCGGCCCCAGGGTTGTAGGATTGTGCAGATATGAAGGGGCTGTTTCACCCCGTGATAAGCTCTGGTACCAGGAATGTGTACCTACAGGAGCCCAGGACCTCCTGGGAAACTGTTGGCCCTGCTTTCCTTGCCTTTGCTAGTCTATCCACGTCACCCCTGAGGGCCTTCGTTTCTTCCTCTGCAAAGTGGGCATGAGACCCCCCGAGGCTGCTGTCAAGAGGTGTGAATGTTGGGTGCGGAAGCATCCCCTGGGCAACCCCTACTTATCCAACATCATCTCCCACAGCTCTGGCAGGGAGCGGGTCGCGTGGCCACGCCCGGCACCCTGCTCAGCCTGACCTGGCCTCCCCCCACCCCCTGCCATTTCCCAGGGTCAGCCTGATCTTTCCACCTCTTTTGCTGCAGGAGCAGCTGAAGTTATAGCTGCCTGCTCAGGGACTGTGAAATTCCTTCTCCATGACCTTTTCTAGGATGTTATTAAAATGTTTCATGGGCAGTTGTGTCAGAAAAAAAAAATTATGAAGAAAAGGAAAATGTTTTAATTTGCACCGAGGGCTGGGGCAGAGCCTGCTGTGAGGGGCCTCCCCAGCCCTCACCCTGGCACTGGCCTGGCTTCTGTGGGCTCGTCACAGAAGCCCACAGGCTTCTGTGGGGGGAGACAGCAGTTTGACAGGGGTGGGGAAGCTGGGAGAGGAGGGGCCATCGCCTCCAGCCTGGTCTCCCAGCCGGGTGGAAGGCCTGGACCCTTGTACCTCCCTGCTCCCTGGACCTCCCCCAGCCCAGGTTTTGAGGCCTTTATGGCCCCCTAGTTATAGCAAAAGGAGTTTCCACTGGTGGAGGGGGAAGAGTGGGCGGCCCAGGGTGCAGAGGCTTGACCTTGAGCACCGACTCTGCTCTCAGCCAACCTTGGGTGACTAGGGCAGAAACTGCTTCTCTTCTTGCACCTTATCTGTAAAATGAACAAGATGGACTAAGATGTGTCCGCAGTCCCTTCCAGACCTAGTGCCTGGGGCGGTGATGCCCCGAGCGGACCTCTGAGGGCCGCAGTTGCCATTGCGGTAATCAACTCTGCAGCGCCCCTGGTGAGCCCTGGCTGGAAACAGGCACTTCACATGGGCTGTTTCCAACCCCTGCACATGCTGTCCTCATCTTACAGGTGGGGAAACCGAGGCTCAGGTTAAGAAACGTACAGCTTGCTCAGGGCCCCAGGGCCAGCAAGCAGTTGAGCTGAAATTCACAAGAAGACCACCTGACCCCAAGCCATAGGCTCTTAGCCCCCCGGGGCTGCCTGGCCAGAGGTTCTGTGTTGGACCGCTGAGCCTGTCCTTTCAGTAACGCTCAGAGCTGAGGGGAAAGAGAGGAGCTGAGGCGTGCTCTCTGCAGGACCCAGGTGGACAGACCATGGGGCCGCTCCATGCCTTGTGTCTCTGGGTGACACATGAGCCCCTCGGGAACCTCTGGCACCATCAGGTGAATTTCTGGTTCTGTAGGTCCCCAGCCACTGGAGGGTCAGAGCTGGGGGAGCTCCTTTCACTGATCAGAAGACCCAGTCAGGGAGACCAGAGCACTTAGCCCGGGAAGCATGAACCCCAAAGTAGCCCAGAGCTGTCTTCATGAGGAGAGGCTTGCTGGAAGGCGGGAGGATGCAGGACAGACGTCAGTGCCAGTCAGAGCCAGTCCTCTGAAGGGTGACCACACAGGGGAGGGATGTGCCGGGGCACATGCACCCACATATGTTTGGGGGTGCACATGAGGTACACTTGTGGGTGTGTGTGTGTGCGCGCGCACGCACCACGCAGGCATGCTCTTGTATCTGCACATGCATGTATGCGGTTCCATGTGCTCAGGGGCGTGTATATATAACACACACGTCTGTGTTCATGAATGCATATCATGATTCCTATATCCTGTTGGTGGCTCCCCATCCTGTAGGCTGTGTGGTTTGTCCCCCTCTCCTGTCCCCAGGCTGCTCTGATTCTCGCCTTCCCATCCTGCCTCCTGACCTGACAAGAGTCAGGTGGGAAGGCTGTGGGGTGTCTTCTTCCTGGGCTTGGGGCAGCCCTTCAGCCTGTCCAATTGGTACCTGGTGTCTAGCAGGTTTTCCTGGGCAGTAAGAAAGCAGTCCAACCATTTGTTCATCCGACAGATGTTTTTTGAATACCTAGTGTGTACCAGGCACGTGGCCCTGAGGACCGTGGTGATGTGAGTCTTGCCCTCAGGAAGTTTACAGTCTCCTGGGAAAGCCTGATGCTAATACTAAGAAATGAATCTTTATTACTTGTTATTATGGAGGGATCAGGGAAAAATGAACACCTATAACAGGACATCTGACCTTGACTGGAATGAGGGAAGGCTTCCCTGAGGAATTAGCAATTGAGTAGGCATTAATAGGTGAGTGAGGGGAGGGAAGCACATTGGACAAAGCGGGAATAGCATGTGCAAAGGCCCTGCGGCTGGAATATAGAGAGGCGGATGTGCTCTGTAGGGAGGTGGAGTTCCATTCCTATGATGTGGACAGTGTTCAGCTCTCTCTCTCCCTCCTGAATTGCCACCCACCCCAAATAGAACCTTTGGGCTGCTGTTCTGATAGTGAAGAAATCCTGTATCAAACCATCCCCATTCTCATACCTCTTCCATCCTGGTGGCCTGTGGCAGGCACTGGGAGACCGCTGAGAGAGGTTGTACCTGGGATATGCAATAAGCCAGCCTGGCATCCTGCAATAGGGAGCTCATGTGCCCAGATTTATTAGCTCCATCAGAGAGGGATGCTGAGAAGGAACAGCAGCTGGGAAGGAGGTTATTCCCAGGGAAGACCTTACTGCCCTCCAGGGCCTTCTGTCCCTGCTCCAGAGAGCTAGGGCACAGCAGGAATGGGCAGAAGATGGACTGTCAGACAAGACAGGGTTCTTCTCTAGGCATAGCAATCAAAGCAAGAAGGAGAGGCATGTAAGCACCTTGACTGGGTGGGCATGGGACCCAGTTTGCTCAGCCCAGGGACGGAGAGCAGCTACCTCTTGGCTCCAGGGTGGCCTTGTGGGAGCTGACAGGCATGGTTCCTCTCTCCCCTCCCTGCCCCTCTT